GGGCCTGCGGGAGCCGCGCTCGCGCCGGGTTTCCTCCCCCGTGGAACCTGCGTTGTAACTAACTGCCAGCTCGTTAGCCGATGCGGGTTCGATAGGACCCCAACTGTATGCCCAGGACGTGGGCCGCGGTCCGGAAAGCCCCGCGAGCCGGCCCCTCAGCGGGCAGGTGCGTCCCCATCACGCCACCCGCGGACAGCGGTAACGCCGTTCCCAGCGCGCGGTCAGTGACACAGCACGTCCCGGAGGAGGCAGCTCTGCCACAGTGTGATTTAAGCCCACCACCCAAAGTAGCCATCCGACTTAGGGTCTCCGCCTTGGAATAGTCCCGCGACGCAGATGTGCATTTGCAGGGGACGCAAATGCCGGGGTTCAGGCGAGGTTCCCTTTTAACCTGTGGTGGGAGTCCCTCCTTGCTGCTGTCTGAATTCGCCCCGTGTACCGAGTGCTTTTATGTGCCCTGGACTTAACACGCTCAGCTGTCTCTGGAGAGAGACTCTTCCGAAGGGTTTCTTGGACCTTAGTAATAAATATTACTCTAATTCTTAACTGTGCTGCATCTTAAGATACGATGTTGACTTGGAGACCCTTGCAAGTAGCACTTGGCATCCATCCTTCCATCCAACTCTTTATCTCTCTGTTCATTCAGCAAACATTCATGGAGGACCTAGTATTGGCTGCACCTTGCTGGGGCTGGGAACAGCCCAGTGAACAAGTCAGACAAAGCCCCTTCCATTCTGAGCTTTGGTTGGTATTGACTTTGACCCCAGGGACAGCCAGGACCTTATGGTGTCTGGGGTCGTCATCTCATGTGAGAGTGAGGGATGGTATGAGAGGTGTTCAGCCGAGAAGAGAGAACTGGCCCCTGCCTCCCAGCACAGAAGGCTGTGGAAGAAAGGTCGGCTCCGCCCCGTGTCCGGGGGCTCTCTCCATGCAGAACCATGTTGTTATTTAGTGTGTTGCAGGCGGGGGAGGGGAGGGGCCACGGAGATGTCCTGTTAAAGCTTAAGGGCAGTGTCGGGTACTTGTGTTGTCACTGGCGAGCCCTATCGGAAAGACGCAAACTCGAAGTTATTTGGAAGGATCTGGAACTGGGGAAGAGAAAGCTGCATGGAGCTGGGCCAGGTAGTGGGCGGAGATGAGGCCAGCGAAGGGGCAGAGAGGAGAACTTAGCAGAAGCCCCCGGCTCCCACGTGCCTACATCTGAATCTCACCCACTCCTCTGAACTTTGGGCTCAAACTGTGGGGCGATGACTGTGGAGGGTGCGGTGGAGGAGGGTTGGGGTGGCGGCCCCAGCATGCTCCTTGCCTCCTGCCTGTTCATCTGCAGGTCTGGTTGTGGGATTAGCTTGAGTGACCCATGTGTCTGTCAGCCACCTGCCGACCTTGTGTTTTGCCTCTGCCAGCGGGCTATCAGACCCTGGAGGGTGAGGGAATTCAGTCAGCACGCCCATTGGGCTATGGTTGAGTCTTGTGTATGGAGGGTACTCAAGAGATTTGATTTAAATATAAAAAGTGACTTCAGCATCAGAAGGAGTTGGCCTGCGGAGGGGCGTGCTTTACAGCTGTGCTGGGTCACACACTAGGACAATGTGGTGTGCGGAACTCGGTGCAGGCATTCTGAGTTTATTCTCCTTCCTTGTGCTCCTGAGCACCTGTGTGTACAAAACCTTTGTTTTATTTAGGATCCTCTATTATTCTTAGTGGCTTTGGCTCACCATCCCCCATCCCATCAATGTTTTAAAAATTGTTGTTTTTTGGTGTCAGGCATGTGCTAACTTTCATTAAGGGAAACTTTGTATATTTTTCTGTGCTCGGAAGTTTCCGGAGCTTGGGAATGATTCGTCCTTGAGAGGAAGGGGTCCTTGCAGATGGCGCGCCCTCCTGGTTGGTGTCGGTGAGGTTTCCGGGAGCTGACAGGGGCCCCTCTCTTCAGTGCAGGTCCTAATCTGAAGGAGTGGCTCAGAGAGCAGTTCTGTGACCACCCGCTGGAGCACTGTGAGGACACGAGGCTCCATGACGCAGCCTACGTGGGGGACCTGCAGACCCTCCGGAGCCTGCTGCAGGAGGAGAGCTACCGGAGGTGAGCGTCTCGGTGGCCCCGGCTGGCCCCGGGCTCGGCCGCGCGGGGACATGGCACGCTGCTGTGCGGGTGACGAGCCTGCTGCTCTCCACTTCAGAGGACAAGGGAAGACGGAGGCTGAGGAAGCCTGGGCACAGCTGTAGGAGACGCCAGGTCGTGTGGACAGGGAGACCGGTGTTCAAGTCCAACTCTGTCATTTGGCCTTTATATTTTCTGGCAACTTCCGTCCCTCTGAGTGTCCGCTTCCTCGGCGTTACTCCTGAGGCAGCGCCGTGACCCTCTTTAGTAGTGGGTGGCCATGCCCCTCGAGTGTCTCTTGTGGCTCTTTATCCCAAGCCGTGCACGTCCGTTCTCCTTCCTCGTTTATGTGGTCTGGTTGCCCGCTGCAGGTACAGACTTCCTGATGTGCCCTGATGTCCTCCTGCAGCATTTCTGGGGTACCCTCCTCTCTGGCTTCTCAGGTTCTCAGTTGTCTGCCTCTAGGGTCTGGGGCCAGCCGTCCCCTCACCCAGGCATCTGCGGGTGCCCAGTTTCTCGTTCCCTTCATCGATGGTGCCCTGCTGGCTCGGGCGCTTTCTTCACATCCGCAGAGCTGCGCTGTTACTTCCGTCACCTGGGGCTCCAGCTGGGTCTGAAACTCACCTGTGACCAGAAAACCCTCGTCTTTTCTTTCTGTGCCCCATTGAGGGCTGGGGTGCAGCGAGTCGATAACAAACGCCTGTGTGTCGCTATTGCATCTAACGCTGCTTTTTGTGGCTAGTTCCCGAGGGACGATGTCTAGCAATACAGAAATGGGTGCCCTTCTCTCTTCCTGCTAACGTCTTAGCGTCACCCCATCAGAACAGGTGTCAGTCTTTGGGAAGAGTTCTGAATGTCCACAAAGGATTTCATACAGAGACGTCGGTTGAGTTATGAGTCCAAAGAAAACCTTAAACTTACAGACATGACAGTGGGAGAAAATGGCAGCGCAGAGAGTTCGGCCGGGTCTCAGACCAGTGCTTTCGCGTTGCTTTTCCAGGCACTTTTTTCGTTCCGTTTTACTCGGGTTCGGGGACTCCTGTTTCTCCACGGAGTTTCCGGTTGCTCTGTGTCTCTCTGCTGATGTGTCCTTGGAGCGTTCCTTGGCCTGCTTGGCCAGTGGAAGCCAGTTCACGGCCGAAGGAGGAGCCTTTGGCCCACAGTGTGTCTCTCGGCCCCTGTCGCGGTGGGCTGGACTCCCAAACGTTCAAAGCTGCCTTGGGAGCTTGAGGGGAACTGCACCTCCGTTGGTGACATGGTGGGGCATTGGACTGCATGGCTGTGGCATCCGTTGACAGGGAGTCGTGTTCTGATTGTCACTTCTCATGTGAGCTGAGTCTGGGCAGTGTCCCTCTGCTGCCATGGCCGGGAGCGTAGGCCCTGTGCGGCCTCAGCGATCTCCGCAGGGTGCATTTCGTGCTGTGTCAGATCAGAGGGATCGGGGTGTCACCTAGTCCCAGTGCGTCATGCAGTGTCTGGCCTTCAGAGGTCGTAGCTGGTGAGAAGGGCTGGGCGCCCTGAGCCACTTACCCAGTGAGCGTGCCGTCCTCCTCAGGCGGGCCCTTCCCCGCTTCGGGGAGCAGAGTCAGGAAACGTGAGATCGTAGCTCTGGTGCCCATCAGTCTACCTGTACCTCGAGCGTCTTCATCTGCAGACTGGGCTCTTAACATGCACACGTCCAGCAGAGTAAACACGTGAGGGCGTTTCACAGCATGGGACACAGGTGAAAACCACTGAAGCAGAGGGTGACTGTTACGAGCTGACCTTCTGGTCCGTAGCCTCAGTGTGGGGGTGGCAGAGCAGCGCCCGGCTCCATTTCCTGGCCCCGCCCCCACTGCCTGGCCCCTCTGTGTTCTCTCGTAGCCGCATCAATGAGAAGTCTGTCTGGTGCTGTGGCTGGCTGCCCTGCACACCGCTGCGCATCGCGGCCACCGCAGGCCACGGGAACTGCGTGGACTTCCTCATCCGGAAGGGGGCCGAGGTGGATCTGGTGGACGTCAAGGGACAGACGGCCCTGTACGTGGCCGTGGTGAACGGGCACCTGGAGAGCGCCCAGATCCTCCTCGAAGCCGGCGCCGACCCCAACGGAAGCCGGCACCACCGCAGCACCCCCGTCTACCACGCCTCTCGCGTGGGCAGGGCCGACATCCTGAAGGCCCTCATCAGGTCAGTGCCGCGCGGCCTGGTCACCGCGGGACGGCGGCGTCTGCCGCTTCCTGCAGCCACGTTCTCATTCCGCGCTATCTGTGTTTACTCTCTCTCAAATTACACTTGTTAGAGCATTTGTCTGTTTTGTTAGTCTTTTTAGAGATCTACTTCTTAGCTTTATCAGTTTGCTTTTTCTTACTGATAAACTTTCTGCTTTTATCTTTATTTTTTCCTATTTTCTTTTATGTTTTTCCTAACTTTTTAAGTTGAATGCTTTTTCATTTTTTTCGATTAATAATGTAAACATTCAAGGTTATTAATTTACCTTTGCATATAGCTTTGGCCACATCCACTCATTTTTTTTCTTCATTTTTAAATAGGTGTAATTGTCATTGGTTTCTTCTTTGTTCTTATAGTTAAGGAGGAGAAAGTTTTAGTAAAAGTATTTATGAACTTCTAATTTATTGTATAGTGCTCAGATAATATGGGCCATCTAATTTCTATTTTGCAGATTCCTTAAGTTTTTTTTCAAACTATTTTTTGATCGTCGGACCACATTGTTGTGGATGCTTGTAGCAGAGACCACGAGTGGCATTTGCACAGTGCAGTATGGTAGCCTCAGTTATGTTGTTCAGAGTCCCCCTCTCTGTTTTCACATTTTAACCGTTGGATCTGCGCCAGATTCAGAGAAGTCTGTTAGTCTCTAATCACTGTTGTGCTTTGTCACTTTCCCCTTATATTTCTAGTACTTTTTGCTTCTTACATTGTGATACTAATTGAGCTCATAAATATTCTTGTTTATTGATTATGCTTGTTATCAATACTTTTTTTTTTAAATGAAAAATCTGTTGGTTTTTAATCTTTTAATCTTCGTGGATCGAAGTGATTGTTTGTGTATTCACCTTTGTTATTTATTTGCCTGTCCAAGATTCTTTGTTTTTTAATACAGTTAACATTATTGCAGTAGCTGATGTTAGGTCTATTTCTGTTATCTTTCTGCTTAACTATTTCTTTATTTTATATCTTTGTTTCATGATCTGTGTTTGCTTTCCTTTTCTATTATTTTAGATGGTTTATGGTCGTATTTTAATTGTACTGATGGTACAGTGTTTTTTCGTATTTGAACCAGACTGTGATTTCATTTTCTGTGTCTCCGGTGACTTCAATCTACCAAAGACGCCTTTTTTCCCTTCCTTACCCGGGAGACAGTTCCTTCCGTGGTTGGAGAGAGTGGTTTAGGGAGCCGGTTCTCTGTGGAGAAGGACTGGGGAGCGGTTCTGCTGCCACAGGCTGCAGTGGGGCGGTTCTCAGGGCAGGGCCCTGGCACTGCGCAGAACCGGGTTTCTAAGTTAGGTGCTGAGAACGTAGTTATTCTGTCGAAAGTTTTAATATACTAAACGGCTGTGAAATTGCCTTTTGGGAAGATAAACGAGGGTGGGTTGCCTGCTGTATCAGAGGGTGATAAAACTATGTTGCTTTTCCCCTTCTTTTTAAGGATTTCTAGTCTGATAATGTAATCGGCTTCAGTCCCATATTTTTGCATTTTGGAGAATGTAAGTCATTAATTTGGAAATGTGTTGAGTAGGATCAATCGGTGAAATTTCATCCCGGTTCCAGAAATCCTTGGGGCCTTTTGGTCAGTGCATGATGCACAACTGGTAAAAATTAACTTCAGGCACGGCTTCCTGAAGCACACACACACGGGCCCTTCACACACGGGGGCCGCTCACACACGGGGGGCCCTCACACACACAGGCCTTTCACACACACGGGGGCCCCTCACACATGGGGGCCCCTCACACACGGGGGCCCTTCTTGAGAAACGCCACTGAGACATCCTGTCCCTGCACTGGAGCACGAGACGTTACTTTTACAGTGAGGTACCAAGAACAGGCGTTAGTCTGTTGAAAAGTTTTCTGTGTTCTGAGTTATTAGATAAGTGAGTCGGAAAATGGGTGACGTGTTAATTGCTGAGCAGATAGCACAGTCTGAGCATGATCTGAGCTCAGCTTCTGCCTCCTGTCATTTCCTCATGGGCAGGGCTTTCTTCTGTCACTGTTGTAGTTTGCTGTCTCTCTGCAAGTCAACCTCTGTTGCGTTCCCTGTCCGTTCCCTCGGTATGTGTTACTGATGTTTTCATAAGAAAAGGATTGGTATTTCTCTGTGTGTCAAAGTTATGTTGATTTATTGAGTTGTCCCAATGATTCCTTGCCAGTGATATTAAAAGCAGTGGGGGAATTTTGGAAAATACTCAAGATTAAAATTAACTGGATCCCATCCAGTATGCTTTTATGAGTGGATACAGGGCTGTCTTTCCCACGGCTCAGCTAATGCCAGGTTGTCGTACTGCCCCTAATTACAGACATTTTGGAAGACAAACCCGTTAAGAATAAGGAGGAAAAAAATCTCTGCTTGAAATCTAGTTCTCTTTTTCTTAGTTGGTTGAGTGCGAAATGAGGGAGTTTCTGCTTGGTTTGGTGTGTGTTTGCGAATGTTTCTCTCGTCATCCCAGGATGTCTTAGAGGATGGCGGTGTTTGCATTTGTAGCGTCTGATGAGGCTGCTTGGCGTTGGGGTGGGGGAAGCCGATGGTCATGTGAATACGTGGGCCTGTGTGCCATCCTCCCTCCCCGCCCACGCTGCCCAAGCACTGCAGGGCTGGTGCCGGGGGACGCGCCTGCACACACTCGGAGCCGTGCTGGGAAGACATGATGAGGCACGCTCGCCGGGGCCGGCCATTGTCATGCAGGCTGGGAACGGCGCGGTCCCCTCTGCCCTGGACCCCAGTCAGGCCCCGTCAGCATTACTTCCTACAAATTGCCTTTTCCTGATTCAAGAGAAATCTGCGATGACGAAACCGTGAGGCACTGCAGGACTGGCTGGGCCGTGGCGCTCAGTGCCACGCACGTCAGCAGGTGCCGGTGTCTGCCGCTTACCGAGACACCGAGAGGGATGTCAGCTGGTGCTCCAGGGCGGGAATCTCCTAGGGGTCAGGCCATGCCTTGCCCTCCCCATCCTGCCAGGCCGCAAGTGATTTCAGTCTTCCGCTTCTGCCGATGTTTACTCTGACCTTTTGGTTAAGGGAGTGTCTGCCAGGCTTCTCCAATGCAAAGTTATTCTTTTCCCTCTAATTATCTAATTAGACAGTATTTCGTGGAGAGGTATTTTGCACCCATGTAAATCTATTCCTTATCAAATTTTTAATTAATTTTTTTCTGTTAGGCTCACAGTTTCCTGTGTTATCCAATGAGTTATTTGATTATATTGTTAATTGATTTCGATGCTCAGATTGTCTCAGATTTGGCTCCAGAGACCCCGGCAGGCCAGCTCCGTGCCTTCTGACACGTCCCCATCGTTCTTTGGACAGCCTCTTACTTTCTCATGTGACAAGATATTCCAGGCTCATCTCGGACTTTCCTGTCTCAGCCCTGGAATGGGTCGTTTCTCCAAGGAACCTGGTTCCTTTCCGTGGATAAGGCTTTTAGAAGCTATGGTCGGACACTGGCAGTGCTCGTTGCTTGCGGGCGTCTGTTTGCAGGTGACGTACACGCGTTTCCGTCTGCATTGCTGTGTCTGCTCACGGCGACAGCCGGGGTCGACCAGATGCCTGCACTCCAGTTCGGCGCCACAGGCTGCTCTTGCTGTTTTTCCTTTCCAGACTTACTGTTCTCTGTTCTAACAGCGAGAGACCTGGTTCCCCACCCTTCACACGTGTCGCCTGTCCCCCACGTGTGACCAGGCACCTGTTGCTGCTGCCCACCCCACACCTGCCTCCTCGCCCACCCCTTGGCGGCGCTAGGTCCCCATGCCATGCAGCAACCCCAGCAGGCACCTCTTCACTTGGGCAGGACGCCGCCCCCAAGCCAGGTGTCTCCCTGCCGTGGCGAGCGGCCGGCCCCTGCGCGGAAAAGCGGACCCCCGCCATCCAAACCACGTTGCTCAGGGGGCAGCTTCATTTTATAACTTGCCTCATGCAAATTTTGAACGTTTCCGTTAAGTTTGTGCTTAGCTGTCTCACTTTACGTTTGAACTTGTTTTTGTTTGTATAGACGAAGGCTGTCAGTTATATAGCTTGCCGGTTTAATAAATTCCGTTGTTGCTCGTTAGTTGTATTTTCATGAATTATTTAGGGCTTTCCAGATGCAGTCATATTTTCTGAAAATAGGAAGTTTTACAGCTCTTCCTTTCCAATCTTAATCAGCCAATTATTTCTTCTAACTGTTCTAATACCTTTATTTAAAATGCCTTTAAAAATAGTGGGCCAGAAATCGGGAGCGTGCGTCTTGCTCCAGGCTTTAGCAAGGGAGCTGCGAGAGCTTCCCCATCAGGTAAGATGCTGACTTCTGGGTCGAGGGAACACTTCTTACCGTGTTACGAAAATACCCATCACTTCCTATTTTTTTGAGTATTTTTAAACTTGCACAAGTGTTGAGTTTTATCATATTCCCCCCCTTTTGTTTTGCGTCCGTAGGGATAGTCACGACGTTCCCTGAGCTCTGTGAATGTGACAGGGTATGTTAATGGTTCCCACACTGGAACTGCCCTCGCGTTCTCGGAATAACTCCCATGAGGCTGTGGGTGTATTGCTCGCTCTGTTTTTGGATTCTCTTTGCTCACATTTCATTGACAATGAAGCTGATACTCAGAAGTGAAAATGGTAGTTTTTCTTTATGGCGCGGCCTTTGTCAGGTTTTGGGATTATTGTTTTGCTGATTTCTTAAAGCGAATTTGGAAGTTTTTCTTCTTTTAATAGTTTAAGTAGCCATGGGATTCTCGAGTCTTTAAAGTTTTGAAAGAATTCTCTCAGGAATTTCGTTGCGTGAATTACAGATTCCTAACTAGGGTCTCTCCTTGCGTCGTGACCTCCGGTGGCCCCCCTAGTGCTCACGGGGTTCGGGCCCATGTCCCCAGGGCACCGTGGAGTCTGTTGACTTCCATCGTCCCCTGATTGTCCCCTTGTCTCCCCTGTAGGTACGGGGCCGACGTGGACGTCACCCACCACGTGACCCCTGACGTCCGGCCCCCCTTCTCCCGACGCCTCACCTCCCTGGTGGTCTGCCCGCTGTACATCAGCGCCGCCTACCACAACCTGCAGTGCTTCCAGCTGCTGCTCCAGGCTGGGGCGAACCCCGACTTCAACTGCAGCGGCCCCGTCAACACGCAGGGCTTCCACAGGGGCTCCCCCGGCTGCGTCATGGACGCCGTGCTGCGCCACGGCTGCGAGGCGGCCTTCGTGAGCCTGCTCGTGGACTTCGGAGCCAACCTGAACCTGGTGAAGTGGGAAGCCTTGGGCCCGGAGTCCAGGGGGCGACGGAAGGTGGACCCCACGGCCCTGCAGGTCTTTCAGGAGGCCAGAAGTAAGTGGCCGGGCCCTGTTTTGCCCTGTAGTTGGTGTGGGTCAGTTGAATGAACCAATGGCAGCAGTTAAACCCAAATGACACTGGGACTGGGGCCCGGTCAGAGCCCTCAGTGAGGACCAGGGACTTCTCAGATTGGGCTTTTGTTAAAATTCTAGATGCCGAGAGTTGACACCAAGAAACTTATAAGAGGACATGTTTTCGAAGCTCCTGGAATTATATTGTTTACCCCTTGCTCTGCTTCGTGACCCCAGATTCTCTCGCTTTGTCTTCGGTGCCTTCAGCTCAGTGCGAGCTCATCCGCCAGGGTTCCCGCTTCCCTCTTGCCCTTCGGGATTGTGTGAGGCCATTATTTTGGATTGTGCATTAAGTCTGATTTTTGCTGGAATGAAGTCCATAGTTGGCATATTTATGAAGAAAGATTTTGCTAACGAATTAATAAATTGTTAGCCAGAGGCTCTGCAGTTGCCGGGGCTCGGTCTTGTCCCAGCCCAGCCTTTCCCCCAGGACTCAGAAATTGCCCTCTGCAGGCCATACGCCTCTGTCACCTGCCCACGCCCAGTCCCCTTCCTGCCTGGGTCTTGAGCGCACCTGAATCAACAGCCTTGTCCCTAACCTTGATGTCTCACAGAACTTTGGTTTCTCGTGTTCGTATGGTTGGATTTCCTCAGACCAGTCAGTAAGACGCGGCCCCTGTCGGGCCTTACCGGAGGACTCAGTTCACGGCCTCTCGGAGCCAGACTGGCAGAACGAAGCTGCCTGCGCTTATGCCTGTTTCGTAGGCAGAGACTGGCTAGGCTTTTTCGACCCAGAGCAAAATCGTCACTTGCCCTCTTCATGTATTGGTTGGCTTGGCTCTCCCAGACCCCCGTGGGGCTTACAGTGGTCATTCATAGTTCTCTGTCCAGGGAATTACATGGCCCGGGTCACAAGGGCTTCATGCCCCACGGGTGGAGGAGCAGATGACAAGACCTTCCTTGCCAAGCCCGCTCTCCCCACTGCAGAATCGGGAGACGGCAGGGCACCGCGCAGTTCGGCCTGCAGTCGCTCCAGGAGAGGGACTAACCTGCGTCTGTGTCCCCCTTTCCTCCCACTGCGGTCCAGGTGTCCCAAGGGCCTTGCTGAGTCTGTGCCGTGTGGCCGTGAGGAGGGCTCTCGGCAAACGCCGGCTCCACCTGATTCCCTCGCTGCCGTTGCCAGACCCCATGAAAAGCTTCCTGCTGTACCAGTAGAAGGCGAGGACGTCGAGGAGGAGGAGGAGGAGGGTGGCCCTGGAGGTGACCCCGTGTGTGACCCTGTGTGTGTCCCCACACCGACTGGGCCCTGTTGAGCTGCCGGTGAAGAGAGACACGGCCGTGTTCTGGTCGGGGCTCCGGCTGCGGCCGTGGGGCATCCCACAGCCCTTGGGTCCTTGTCAGCTGAGAGGCTCATACAGACTTAATTTTGTTCTTCTTCACTATCTCTGTTTTGGATTTTCACAAGTTGCATAATAATGAAGTGAGTGCAAGTATGGGCTGAGGTTGGAGGGCTGCTGATACTCCCAGTAAGGAAGTCTTCTAGCACTTTCCAGAACTGTGCTTCTGTTTATATTTTTACTTCTCAATTAATTGTTTGATTCAAGCCTTCTAATACCTAAACAAAAAGGGAGTTTTGATAACAGAGTACAGAAACGCAGTTCACGAACTCGCTAGTTCCTTTCCGTGCTCCCGGGGTGAACACGTGGCATTTGTCATACATACACCCTTTCCTTGTCAATTCAGTTTTCTCTCCTTGTGGTGGGAGTATCACATTCATTGTCTTTATTCTTGGATGGTTTCCTGGCCACAGGGATTGGCTGTGTCATCTCAAGGTCAGTACTTGCCGTCGTTCAGAATCTAGAGCGGTATCCCCCAGCGTCCCACAGTGCTGTGCCTGCTCTGGTACTAACTCTGCCTGGCGCCGTGCCAGCAGGTCCCAGGAGTCCTTGGCCGTTTCACTCTGGGGAGCGTCCAGACAGTGATCGATTTGGGGAGGCCCCCCCGGACACGCCAGTAGTTGACTGCCTGCGTTCGGACTGAGGACCGCCCACAGCATCCACTGCCAGCCAACAGAAGAGACCTCGGCGCTCTCTCCAGGCCCTGCGTGTCCCAGGGGAGGAGACCTCTTGCCCTTTGGATGGGTCCAGGCTCCCAGGTGCCTGGTGTACAGTGGAAGGAACATCTGGGACGGTTGCTTGGTTGCTCTCCACTTTTTGGACCTGAAGTCTTGGTGGTGGCAGAGAGCAGTGAGGTCAGAGGTCACCCCAGCCTGCCTGATGGTAGGTGAGAGAGCTGAGCGGGTTATCGTGTGATGTGTGGGGCTGCGGGCTGGCTCGCTCTCAGTCCCCGGCCGTGCAGCCTGGTGTGCGGCTCTGTCGGGGGAGGTGACATTCCAGGTGGTGCTCTTTTCAGGGAAACCGCATCTGGTCATTTTGAGGCCTCAGACCAGGATCTGTGGCGATTCTGACCTTTGGAAGTGTTCAGAGATGGGCAGATTTCAAACCGTGTTTAGGTTTTCTGTACTGAGAGGGACCTGATTTGTGACAGATGAACTAACGGTAGAGGTTTATTTAGTTATTAACATCATTGTGTGTTTTAGCTGACCAGACAGACAATGTCTGGTCCTTGTCTTCTGTGGCTCGAGGGTGCAATCGTAAACCTCGCGTGTCGCGGTGGGCTCTGTGCTGGGAAGCCAAGCTGACCTGTGTGCACAGGGCTGGGCCCGAGGGGAGGAAAGGCCCGAGGTGATTCAGGGGACGGTGCAGTCACGGGAGTCTGTGCAGTGTGACGAGCTGCATGCTGCTCCTGCAGGACCGGGGCCCTGGCTGGCCAGGTGCCTCCAGAACTTGGGGGTCCGGCCACGTCGAGGCCAGGGGGTCCTCTGAGAGGAGAGGAGCTGTGGGAGTGGGCGGCCAGCTGCTGCAGGAGCGGTGGGAGGAAGCGCTCTGCCTGCCGAGGGGGGCGCTGCGAGGACTTGGAGCCGCCCACAGGCGGACTGGGCCGCTGGCGGGCTTCTTGTCATTGGAAGTGGGTGAGCAGTGGCTCATCGCCTTCTTGCCAGGGCTGCGGGAGGCGACTCAGGAGAGGGCGGCTCACTCGCTCTGAAGCCCTTCCAGCACGGGCCCCTCTCGGGCCGCCCTCTTGGCCCGGGTCCTCCAGGCCAGCCATGCAGACTTGCTGTGGCTCGGGGGTGGCCCTGCAGGCTGCCGGCTGTGGGGACTGTTGTGCACAGCCTCTCTCGGGCCTGCCCCGGGTAGGAGGCTGGCTATGTTCTCAGACCTGGAGAGCAGCACCTGGCAAAGGTGCCAGTGTGGGAGTCCACACATATGGGCGGGACCTCCAGGCTACAGATGGTCTCAAGCTCCTCTGCCTAGTGGAGCAGGTGTAGGGCCTGTTTCGAGGGGTTGAGCTGCTTTCCAGGGTCTCTCTAGAAGGAGACGCTGGGCCTCACCCCGACCTGGCCAGGCACTGTGACGGGGAGGGGAATCTGGAGAGCGGGCCTCCCGCTCCGTCCCCGCAGTATGCTGTGCGGGGCCGGGGCTGACCGCCCCCTTCTGGAGGACAGGTCGGCTGCCTCAGTCAGCCAGTGTTTAGTGCTTTTTCCAGAAACCCAGGGACTTTGAGGTTCAGCCTAGTGTGAAACTTGGTAGCTGCCAACCGGGAATGTGAAGGCAGCATGATGCGTACCTGCTTCCAGCCATCCCTGCTGGTTTCGAGTGACATTTATATTGTAGAAAAGCTCCAAAATCAGACCAGTGACAAACCAAGCAGTAACTCGGAGAGAAGGAGAACTCGCATTTATTACGCGCGGTCCCAGAGGAGCTGGTGCTCTGAAGAACCTGGGCAGCCAGCTCAGTTGCAACATTCCTTATATACAAGAATTTTACACAAGCTGATTGGTCAGTTCGAACTCGAACCGTTACAAATGGCGGTAATTGCTATGCAGATCGCAAGTAATAACATCGGAGAAGGATGGGAGTTGCTAAGTGTTACCGATGGTTATAAATTGTTACAGGGAGCGGGAGCTGCTGAGGGGTACACACAGTTACATTCACTGCTCAGACAAGTGGGACGAGGTGCGAGTGAGCTCTGCAGTGAGCGCTTGCACGCAGCAAGCACATTTACAGAAGCAGAGCAAAAGGCTGATTAGATTTTAATGAAAATCCTGAAATTTCCTCTTCATTCCCCCTTTTTGATGCCTGTTAGATTCTTCATAGGGCATCAACCTTATGATTTCCTTCTTGATCTCCCGAGTTAGGGACTGGTCATTGCACTGCATAAGGGTCTTTGCTGCAGCGTTTCTCGGTCATGGCCTCTGTGAGGGAGGTGATCAACAGGGCAGCAGGTGGCAATAGGCAGGGCAGAAGGAGGCAGGCACTGAGGAGGAGCACGACTCCAACTAAGGTCGTAAAGCCTCTGAGGGTAGAGAACACCTCCAGAGAGGCTGTCGGGGTCCCATCTGTGCCAGACTCGCACCGGCACATGTGCCAGTTCTGTCATCTGCTTAGCAAGATCTTCAGCTGCCTGGCCCTGGGCCTCTATCTGTACACAGCTGTTGGTGAGATCGAATTTCCCACATACGCCTCCTGCTGCTGCTAATGACAGTCTAGAGCCAACCTGTTCTGGTAGATGGCGTTGCTCACCTGAGTCTGGATGTGCCAGGGGGGTCAGGGCTCCCCGGTCTCGTTAGGAATGATCTCTAAAACTGCCTGCAGTCGGATAATTCAGTTTAACATGTAAATCGGGGTACGGTATCCCCAAGATCCATCTTTTGCCCAAGTGGCAGGCCCATAGTATTGGACTGTTGGTTCTGGGGGCCACTCATCATCCCTCCAGTCCCCTGTGTGGAGCTCTCTTTTACCCTTTGCAGGGACTGTGGGACCGGGTGACCAACCTGTTCCCCTTTTTCAGAGGTAAGAGGATAAGGAAGGTTTTATCGTGCCAATTACACAGCTTCTTTTCCAGATTGTGGGGAGGCGGATATAGGCCGTGCTCCCACAAATCCAGGAGAGCCCACGTGGGGCTGCCCAGTCTCGGACCCTGCCTGGGTTATGCCAGGATTTAGTTAGCCCTGGGACTCTGGCCAACGGATTTCTCTCTTTTCTGCTTCCCTGCCACATGCTTTGTCTGGAGGTGGCATTATAATATCGTTGACCTGAGCAAATTAAGTTTTTGACTAGGCGTCTGAGATTTTCTCCACCTCTGGCCAGGCAGTATTGTCCTATGAGAGTATGTTCTAAAATCCATTGACCATCCTTTGAGGTGTGTGGGGCCGTTACATCTGGCATTGCCTGGTTGGGAACCAATTCATTAGCTTCCCATGGCCATGTCCCACTAGAGTTCCCCCCGCATACATAGCAGGAAGTGACATTCAGGGAGTGAGCTGTTCTTTCAGCCATTCTGAGAAATAAGTTTTCGAATGATTGTGATGATGGGGTAGGGATTGTTACTTCCTTGAAGAAAGATTTATAACCCTGATAGACTTGGGCCGAATGGGCTAGTACTTGACCTCTAATATGAATACGAATTTGAACATAGGGATTTAGCCCTGTCCCATCAATGCCAAGTGTTAATACTTCTCCGGAACTCCAGCGGGCGTTCAAGAGGTTGGTTACGATTAGCTCT